TGGACTTGGGCTTAATTTAATTTATACATTATAAGTTGAAATATCAATTAAGTTGAAAAATTTTTTGGGCTGCAAAATGACATTTTAACTTGTAATATGTCAATTAAGTTGCTTACGTATCCTTACCTCGAAAATCAAAGTACTAGTAGTTCTCTTACTATACTTACCTTGATAAAAGTAGATGGCAGGCAAGATTGAACCGATTGTCTAATCCTCGTAGTCGTATATGTCGTCGTCTCTCTTCATTTCTGGCGGTTCCACTAGTACTAGCAGTAAAATCAGATGCCTCATCATTTTCGTCATCTTCGACAGTTAGCATGGTCTTTTGTGCCTTCATTTCGACTTTCTTCCAGTCACTCAACAACATTTGAGCCTCCAGGTTTTATGGCGTCAACCTCGACCATCGTGCGTCTAGTGCATATCCTCTCTCGTCGAATGTTTGTTCAACCGTCACTGTTGATGTCGGGACATCAAAATTCTCCTTGGCCATCAAGCATAGGATTTGATAAATGGGTGACATCTTTAACCACCAATCCAGGATGTCAAATTTTTGTGGCGAAATTAGTTCACGAGCAATTGTAAGTATCAAATTCGTCATGAGGTAGTGATCAAGCTCACTGTATCTAGTCCCCTTTGCCCTTTGGATCTTAGAATTTTTGTAGGGATTAAAGTCATCCCACCAGTCATCAAAGTTTTGGGCTTATTGCGTTGTCTATCCCCATTGTCCATAAGAAGAAGACCCGAAAGCAGTTGAAGAAAATAACGTCGGTTTTTCCCCGAGTCCGATTGATGTTTCCTTAAACAATTCATATAATAAAAATTTGGCTTGCTCGACGAGCTGCCGTGTAGGTCTTACACTGATACCCGAGACATCAATGTAACTGAGAAGTGAGAGTTGATACATAATATCAGAATATGTATTGAGTTGGTTGAGCAGGCCATTTTCACGTAACGACCGATCTAACAAAGTTGCAACTAAAAATGTATCGAGAATGAAAAAAATAACATTTCAACCATTTTCTTAATATTTTTCTTACAAGTTCGCAATGTAAGCCAATATCACTAGTAAAAATATCTCTAAAGCCTCACACTCATAGCAACTCCAGTTATCTCCTAACTCCTGGAGAAAATGTTCAATTAGGATGGCTTTGGAAGTTGCCGATTACTGGTACACATTGATTTACAACAAATTGAACTGTAAGGTAGTAAACACTAGAAAGTATGATTGAATTGGAGGTAGAGAAAGATGGTTTGTTTGATGGGCATTCAGATTTTGAGCCCGCCATTAAAGGGTCAACGGAGACGAGGGTTTTGACGGAGACGGCGGGCCGAGCTTCACGGAGGTGGCAACAAAGATGGTGGCCAACGAATTTTTGGGTAGGTGATCAACGACGCATATGGTGGCTGTGAATTTTTGGGCTTCCGGTTGGGAGATGGTTTTTTCCACACTTCAATGGGACGATGGGGACGTACGAAGATTTTTTTTCTTCATACGATGGGGACCAATGATTATGTGGCTAACATCTATCTATATATATATAATAAGAATTACCATTTATAAAAAATAGTAGCAAAAAAATAGGTCAGAATTTAATGCAGTCTATAAATAGTAAGTTTTATTATTTTATTATTTTTTTATTAAAAAATCATACAACATTAAATGTTACCTTACATTTCGGGAGTTAGTTCATTTTATTATTTAAAAAATCCGGCTAAGATTTATTAAATGTGCATTTTTTATTTTTATTTTCTTTCTTATAAACAACGAACAACATTAAAATCTCAGTCACTATAGTTATAAAATCTCAATTCAAAATATAACAAAAGTTTTAGAATCTCGGTCTTTATATTTGTGCCTTTAAAAAAATATTGAAAACTAAAAATATTCTTTAAATTGCATCAATCAATTAATCTTAATTTTTTTTAAAATTACTATGTTTATTTTTTATTAATATGCATAAAGTAAAAATAATTAATTCATCTTTAGATATATAATTTATAATCTTAATATACTATCATTTGGTGTAGACATTTATTATATGAATCATAAAATATTTTTATTTCATAAACTTATATAAATTTAAAGAAAATAAGAAAATTTCTTCGGATCGATCGGATAATTGAATTAGGGTACTACCAAGGTTGATTGATTTACTTTAAGGTGACATTTAAAATAGTCAAAAAACTTGACACAACTTGGTTGGTCTCGGGTGACTAAGTTATGTATCAGTTCGACCACATCAAATCCATTATTGAACCAAAATACAAATTTTATATTGAAAATATTGTATTACGTGAATGTGATTTAGTCCAAACTTCAAATAATCGTATTAACAATACTTTTATGACAACATATTTAATGATTTATGAATATTTATATATCATTCTATTAATATTTATGTGAATTAAATAATATTTTATTATAATATATATTTATGTACAGTAAATATAAGATTTTCAGAACTGGACCGTCATCGAAACGATCAAGCTATTTTATTAAATGATTTGTGGTTTGTTCAGATTTTAATTTATAAACATTTTAATATATATATATATAGTACTTTTTGTAATAAATTTAAAGTGTTACTTAGATATCTAAACAATTTATAAATTCAATGTTTAAACTAATTGATAAATAATTTTAAATCCCTATTTTATTTAAATATGTAATTTTATTTAAAATAATTTCAAATATAACAAAATTTATTTAGAAAATCGTATCGATCCTACCAGTCCAACCGACAGGTGTTGACAAATTCAAGAGCAAAAGTTTTATTCAAGTGAACTAGACTGGTTATAAACCGGTTCTCGGTCCATCCGATTGGATTGTGTCCAACCCGGTTTAATTTAAAAATAATGGATAAATCATGATTAATATTATTTATATATTTAATTAATAATACAATCGTAATATTGTTTTTCCGTGCATTGCACGGGCTATGCACTAGTTAAACATAAATTGTTAATAATAATACTTATATATATATGTGTGTGTGTAGTTTATCAGAAGGAGAAGGAATGGGTACAGACTAGAGA